CTATTCTGTTCCATTGATCTATATTTCTGTCTTTGTGCCAGTACCATACTGTCTTGATAACTGTGGCTTTGTAGTATAGTCTGAAGTCAGGCAGATTGATTCCTCCAGTTCCATTCTTCTTTCTCAGGATTACTTTGGCTATTCGAGGTTTTTTGTATTTCCATACAAATTGTGAAATTATTCGTTCTAGTTCTGTGAAAAATACCGTTGGTAGTTTGATAGGGATTGCACTGAATCTGTAGATTGCTTTGGGTAGTATAGCCATTTTGACAATATTGATTCTTCCAATCCATGAACATGGTATATTTCTCCATCTGTTTGTGTCCTCTTTGATTTCTTTCATCAGTGTTTTATAGTTTTCTATGTATAGGTCTTTTGTTTCTTTAGGTAGATATACTCCTAAGTATTTTATTCTTTTTGTTGCAATGGTGAATGGTATTGTTTCCTTAATTTCTCTTTCTGTTTTCTCATTGTTAGTGTATAGGAATGCAAGGGATTTCTGTGTGTTAATTTTATATCCTGCAACTTTACTGTATTCATTGATTAGCTCTAGTAATTTTCTGGTAGAGTCTTTAGGATTTTCTATGTAGAGGATCATGTCATCTGCAAACAGAGAGAGTTTCACTTCTTCTTTTCCTATCTGGATTCCTTTTACTTCTTTTTCTGCTCTGATTGCTGTGGCCAAAACTTCCAAAACTATGTTGAATAGTAGTGGTGAGAGTGGGCACCCTTGTCTTGTTCCTGATTTCAGGGGAAATGCTTTCAATTTTTCACCATTGAGGGTGATGCTTGCTGTGGGTTTGTCATATATAGCTTTTATTATGTTGAGGTATGTTCCTTCTATTCCTGCTTTCTGGAGAGTTTTAATCATAAATGGATGTTGAATTTTGTCAAAGGCTTTTTCTGCATCTATTGAGATAATCATATGATTTTTATCTTTCAATTTGTTAATGTGGTGTATTACATTGATTGATTTGCGGATATTAAAGAATCCTTGCATTCCTGGGATAAAGCCCACTTGGTCATGATGTATGATTTTTTTAATATGTTGTTGGATTCTGTTTGCTAGAATTTTGTTAAGGATTTTTGCATCTATGTTCATCAGTGATATTGGCCTGTAGTTTTCTTTTTTTGTGGCATCTTTGTCTGGTTTTGGAATTAGGGTGATGGTGGCCTCATAGAATGAGTTTGGAAGTTTACCTTCTTCTGCAATTTTCTGTAAGAGTTTGAGTAGGATAGGTGTTAGCTCTTCTCTAAATTTTTGGTAGAATTCAGCTGTGAAGCCATCTGGTCCTGGGCTTTTGTTTGCTGGAAGATTTCTGATTACAGTTTCGATTTCCTTGCTTGTGATGGTTTTGTTAAGATCTTCTATTTCTTCCTGGTTCAGTTTTGGAAAGTTATACTTCTCTAAGAACTTGTCCATTTCTTCCAAGTTGTCCATTTTATTGGCATAGAGCTGCTGGTAGTAGTCTCTTATGATCCTTTGTATTTTGGTGTTGTCTGTTGTGATCTCTCCATTTTCGTTTCTAATTTTGTTAATTTGGTTCTTCTCCCTTTGTTTCTTAATGGGTCTTGCTAATGGTTTGTCAATTTTGTTTATTTTTTCAAAAAACCAGCTTTTAGCTTTGTTAATTTTTACTATGATCTCTTTAGTTTCTTTTGCATTTATTTCTGCCCTAATTTTTAAGATTTCTTTCCTTCTACTAACCCTGGGGTTCTTCATTTCTTCCTCCTCTAGTTGCTTTAGGTGTAGAGTTAGGTTATTTATTTGACTTTTTTCTTGTTTCTTGAGGTAGGCCTGTAATGCTATGAATCTTCCTCTTAGCACTGCCTTTACAGTGTCCCATAGGTTTTGGGTTGTTGTGTTTTCATTTTCATTCATTTCTATGCATATTTTTATTTCTTTTTTGATTTCTTCTATGATTTGTTGGTTATTCAGAGGCGTGTTGTTTAGCCTCCATATGTTTGAATTTTTAATAATTTTTTTCCTGTAATTAAGATCTAATCTTACTGCACTGTGGTCAGAAAAGATGACTGGAATGATTTCAATCTTTTTGAATTTACCAAGACTAGATTTATGGCCCAGGATGTGATCTATTCTGGAGAAGGTTCCGTGTGCACTTGAGAAAAAGGTGAAGTTGATTGTTTTGGGGTGAAACGTCCTACAGATGTCAATTAGGTCTAGCTGGTCCATTGTGTCCTTTAAAGTTTGTGTTTCCTTGTTCATTTTCTGTTTAGTTGATCTATCCATAGTTGTGAGTGGGGTATTAAAGTCTCCTACTATTATTGTGTTACTATTAATTTCCTCTTTCATACTCGTTAGCGTTTGCCTTACATATTGCGGTGCTCCTATGTTGGGTGCATATATATTTATAATTGTTATATCTTCTTCTTGGATTGATCCTTTGATCATTATGTAGTGTCCATCTTTGTCTCTTTTCACAGTCTTTATTTGAAAGTCTATTTTATCTGATATGAGTATTGCGACTCCTGCTTTCTTTTGGTCTCCGTTTGCGTGGAATATTTTTTTCCAGCCCTTCACTTTTAGTCTGTATGTGTCCCTTGCTTTGAGGTGGGTCTCTTGTAGACAGCATATATAGGGGTCTTGCTTTTTTATCCATTCAGCCAGCCTTTGTCTTTTGGTTGGGGCATTCAACCCATTTACATTTAAGGTAATTATTGATAGGTATGGTCCCGTTGCCATTTATTTTGTTGTTTGGGGTTCACGTTTATACCACCTTTCTGTGTTTCCTGTCTAGAGAAGATCCTTTAGTATTTGTTGAAGAGCTGGTTTGGTGGTGCTGAATTCTCTCAGCTTTTGCTTGTCTGTAAAGCTTTTGAGTTCTCCTTCATATCTGAATGAGATCCTTGCTGGGTAGAGTAATCTAGGTTGTAGGTTATTCTCTTTCATTACTCTAAGTATGTCCTGCCATTCCCTTCTGGCCTGAAGGGTTTCTATTGATAGATCAGCTGTTATCCTTATGGGAATCCCTTTGTGTGTTATTTGTTGTTTCTCCCTTGTTGCTTTTAATATTTGTTCTTTGTGTTTGATCTTTGTTAATTTGATTAATATGTGTCTTGGGGTGTTTCGCCTTGGGTTTATCCTGTTTGGGACTCTCTGGGTTTCTTGGACTTGGGTGGCTATTTCCTTATCCATTTGACTAGCTTTAAAAGATATTAATTAGACCTATTATTTAAATCATATAGATTTATGTGAAACTCAAAAAGTTCTTACTAGCTAAATACATATTCTTAGAGTTTATTAATAACTTAATCACTTTCCTCCTTAAGGTTGCCACTCTTTTCTACCAAAGAATTACAGAATTCCAATCAGAATACAAATAATTACTTTTGTTGTCATTTTCTTATTGTCATCATCTATCCACACCATCTCGCCTATTTTCTCTTGCAAACTAATAAAAAGTTGTCACTCCTTTTTAGGAACTCTAATATATGAATTTCTCTTTGGCATGTGCACTTTTCTTCTTAATTTCTTTTCTGGGTTCTTTGCCCAAATTTCAACTATGCAGAAAGGTTAAGACTCTGATGTATAAATCCCAAAATTTTATATTAAGATTAATGATTTGTCAACATCCCTTCTTCTACAGGAAACCAAGTTCATATATTTCATCATTTAAAATGCCACTGACTATTTCCTCCAGGAGGTCGTACAGAATAAAAATTTACCTCTCTCTCATTAAAACTCACCAATACTTTTTTTTTGAAGTCTAAGACACATAGCAATACAACAAGCAATGAATTATATGTTGTCTACAGAAGTTTATACAGAATGTGAAAAAACCCTTAGAATGGCAAATTCAGATTTAAGATTGCATACTATTAAATAACAAGAAAACCCTCTGAATGGTCTGATGAATTTAACAGAAATATAAGGTAGACTTTACATAAGTGATTTGATTAAGTGGAATACATTCAATTTAATTACATAAATTAAACATCACACTTTGAAAAACTGATGGACTGGTCAATTTCAGAAGAGTTCTGAACTCTTAATATGTACAAAAGAAGATAATATGCACATTTTAAAACTCTTTCTATTCCAGAAGAGCTCTAATCATTTAGTTCTAAAGAGTACTGAATGCCACTAAGTTATGCAAATGACAAAGTGCTAAAGTAGAAACGCTACAAAGATCTCAAAAAGAAGATCAAAATCTTTTTAGTATTTTTTAAAATGTATTTTGAAATTATAAACTGTTTTTCACCACAGTAATATTTTAAATGGCCCCTAAATATAGGAATGGTTATGAAAACTATGATATAGATATGCAACATTATCGAGGCATTGATAATGTTTATGAAGAGCTTGTAACATCAAGGAAAGATGTTTGCTGTAATGGTAAGCTAAAAGAGCAGAGTTCAAAACTCCATACATACAATAATTCCAGTTAAATTTTAAATAAAAATTATTTAGAAAAAAATGAATATTGGACAAAATATACCAAAATATTAACAGGAAAAGTTTGAGTAGTGGGGAAAAGGTTGTTTTTCTACTTTTTCTTTTCTATATATTCATGACATTTATAATGGAAAAAGTATTACATTTATTTTTTCTAAGTTCTATACAAAGATAATTTTATAGGTCACATATTAATCTTTACATTACTGAGGTAATAGAAAAAAGCATTTAAAGAAATCATCAAGCTACCACATTTAAAATGTAAAATTCAGTAAAAATTGGAAGAAACCAGGCAAAATTTCACTCTTCAGGCTGATTTGATTATTTTAACTTGACAACTGAGTTGTTTTTTTAACAACTGAGTTTTAATGAAACCATTAAGGTTTTCTTCTCTACCAAAATCACAGAGAAGATAATCATGAGACAAAAAAGATGGAAACAAAAAAAAACCTAACACTGAGTTTGTATCTTCCAAATCATACATGTGAGTAAAGTCGCACAATAAAAGGCTGCCAGCACTACAGACTGCATCTGTTTATTATGTATTCCTCATGGTCAAAATAGGAAAACTGTGTGGTCTCACTTGTGAAATATGATTGATTGAAGACTCCATCCTTCGTAGTTGGGATGCCTGGATATCCAGCATCTGCAGGACATTGTTGGCCAAGGTATTGATCAGATAGGCAACACTTGCTAAGGACTGGGTGGTGTAGGCTTTGGTTTCTTCTAGGGCTCGCTGCTTATCCGCTGACTAGAAAAACAAACAATCAATCATTACTTCAAAGATACCCATTCTATCAATCTAATCTTCAAAAATACTCACCCAAACCATTATGTCGCTGAATCTACATGCACTAATTTAAAATGCTTTGAAAACCAATTATCAGTATTCATGTAACCCCAACAACTACATTATTGACTTGAGTTCACTAATGTTTTCATGTTGAATAGATACATCTTTGCATAGATGCAAATAAAATCCTGAAGCCATTGTTTACAAATGAGGTCTGATGGATATTTTGAAAAATGGCAGCAAACACAAAAACAGCCTCTCACGGCTGCTGCTTGGAAAGGTAGCACCTGTTTGAAAGCGTAAATTCCGGTGCACATTTTTCTACGCTCCTGAGTTATCCCTTTCCTTTCACTCTAACATACACAATGTGACTATAAAGTAATGGTCCGATAATAGTTATAACAACAACAAAATAAGAATGATAATGATAAAATGATAAAGTATATAATACAGTAATAATTGTGATAATGATAAAATAAAAATAGTAAAAGGATCCTTTCTTCCCAAGCATCTTAAGTTATAACCCTATGGAACATAAATAGCATTATATCATAAATCCCACTTGATAAACAGAAACTACACAGTAAAAAAGTGGTGAACTGATTATTTCCAAGGTCACAAAGCAAAGCAACAGTAAGGTTACATATTCTATGCTGCAACTGCCAAATACCATTTTCCTGCCCTAATTCTATACAAAGACTCTATGGTTCAGTAGAAAGGACATAAGCCTCTGAATAAAAATCCTTTTACCTTAATGTCAGTTCTACTACTACAGTATGTCATATTCTAAGTAGTTTTGAACATAAAATAGGATAATGACTATAAAACCACTTTCCAAAACTATATATCATTTAATCTAACAACTGTCATTCCATCTTTGAGTAGTCATCAAGTGTTCAAAATCTACTACGTTCTGCTCTGCCTTCTGCCGCACAGTATAGGACTCAGAATCAGGAAACCTAGACACAATTTCTTCCAGAGGGAGCAAAATTCTTTTGAAGAAGCAGTAGTTAAAATAAATCAAATAATATTCCTTTAACATGAAAGGAGTTAAGAATCACTGTATTGATTTTTTTTTTCTAACCTCTAGTAATCTCAGTTTTATTAACACTTTAAATTAACAAGAGTTGAAACCAAATCTGGTTAAAGATAAATACTTGTTTAAAAACCTCATATAGATTTCCAGATTGTTGTTGATGCTCAGTCACTAAGTTGTGTCCGACTCTTCGTGATCTCAGGAACTGCAGCATGTCAGGCTTCCCACCCCTTCACTATCTCCTGTAGTTTGCTCAATTCATGTCCATTGAGTCGGTGATGCTATCCTAAATATCTCATCCTCTGTCATCCCCTTCTTTTGCCTTCAACCTTTCCCAGGGTCTTTTCCAATGAGTCAGCCCTTCGCATCAGGTGGCCAAAGTATCAGAACTTAGGACTAGTCCTTCCAATGAATATTCAGGATTGATTTCCTTTAGGATTGATGGGTTTGATCTCCTTGTAGTCCGAGGGACTCTCAAAAGTCTTCTCCAGCACCACAACTCAAAAGCATCAAAAAATTTCCAGATTATGGTAGCATATATAAGGAATTTGTAAGTCACTGGTCCATCCTAACAAGTAAAAATCTGAACAGACTTAAAAATCAACAACTGTTGACTTCAAAGTAGAAAATAGCTAAGCCAGTAACACTTCTCAGATATTACTCTAAATCAGAGTATTTATTACAGAGAATAACCAGCAATTTAAAAAAATTTTTTTAATTTGTTAGTAGACTTCAAATGATTGAGGGGAGGGATGGATATTTGGACAGATAATTTCCAGGCAACCTTTTTTATATAGGTAGCTTTTGAGATTTTTTTTGAAAAGCAAATAGCATTAATGTAATTCAACCCTCAAATCACTTGTGGTCCCTGTTTGGGCGCCACTTGCTGGGATCCAGCCTTGGCAGGATCCAGGGAGCACCCTCAGGATGAAAGGTGTCAGCTAGAGAGAGAGAAAACACGTGAGACCCGCCTTGATAGGGCCAAGTCTGCGAGGGAGAGAGAGAGAGAGAATGACCAGACGGGGGTGTTTGCAGGGTCTAGCAGAGTCTGGCAATGCTTTATTTTTTACCATAGCTTTTATACCCTAAGTTAGTACATTTCTAAGGGGAAGATAGTTTAACATTATGTCAGCTTGTCCTTCACGAAACCAGGGTGTTTTCTGCATACTTCTTTGTTTATGAGGGTCTTGTACATTATCTTCTGGCCTTGGGGCCTATTAACATTTTATGCAGGTCAGGTGAATGTAAACCTATTTTCTGTTTCTCTGGTGACCTTAACTGAAAGGTAGCAGTCTCATAGGGCAACAGTACAGAGTGGAAGTATAACCTTATTAACACAAAAATTAATCCTTCTGCAAAAGTTGTCAGTTGTGTTTATCTAAGAAGTTTCCCCCCAACACAGACTCTGTGGCTTCGGTGAGGCAGCTTCTGCCTAGCACTCCTGGCTGACAATTAACAATCATTTCACTGTTACAACACTAGGGCTTAGCTCTTATTTCTCTAGATCTTTAACTATATTAACAATGGTTTCTATAACACAATCTTAGTATATTAAAAGCAAAAACACAGCAAGCAAATCTCAACCCAATAACCACCTATAGAATAATTTTTCTTATGTTTTCTAATAGGACTCCTTTACCCCTTAAAAAGGCTCTATGTCTATTAGGGCTTTTATATAATCAGGTTCTTTATGCTATTTTATGATTAGGATATTGTAAGCAATCATGCATATTAGTACCAAGGGCATAAGTGCATTTGACTAACAAACTACCAGCAAAGGAGTTTAAATTAAAACACTCCTTTCATCCTGGATAATCTCATAAAATACCACCACCTGGGAAACTTATTGATTAAAGTTCTAAATTGATTCTTATTTGGGAAGAGATGGGGGAAGGCCTTCTGCCTGTGTCACAGAAATTAGGGAGTAGTCCATTGAGGCAGGCATCAGAAAGACAGATATCATCTTTAAGGTGATCACCGGGGGTGGTTTTTCAAAATCCCTGAAAACCTGATCTGCCTTGCCTGTCAGGCTTTCTCCTCGTGACCTTGTCATGGGTGGGATCTCATGAGCTGGCCTTTCTGAAACCCCTGAAAACCTGATCCGCCTTGCCCATCAGGTTTTCTCCCTCATGGCCTTGTCATGGGTGGGATCTCGTGTGTTGGCTCCCGGCAATGCTATGCCTTTATTCCTAGCAGGTATGCAAAAATCATGTGGCTAACTGTTGAATCAAAGATATGAGAGGCCTTCCCATATTAGATGAGTTTCATGTATGTCTACTTTTCAATGGAAGATTTCTTTTCCATGGAAGATTCCTTGTTGCTTTTAATATTTTTTTCTTCATCTTTAATTTTTGTCACTTTGATTAATGTGTGTCTCAGCAAGTTCCTCCTTGAGTTCATCCTGTTCGGGATTCTCTGGGCTTCCTGGACTTGAGTGCTTCCTTTCTCATGTCAGGGAAGTTTTCAGCTATAATATCTTCAAATATTTTCTCAGGATCTTTCTCTTCTCCTTCTGGAACCCTGGCTTATAATGCAGATGTTGTTGCATTATAACATACATAAATCCCAGAGGTCTCTGAGATTGTCCTAATTTCTTCTAGTTCTTTTTTCTTTATTCTGTTTTGTGGCAGTGATTTCCATCACTTTTGTCTTCCAGATCACTTATTCAATTACTCTGCCTTAGTTATTCTGCTACTGATGCCTTCTAATGTATTTTTCATACTTCCCCAGTATCTCAGTGATGAAGAATTTGCCTGCAATGCAGGAGATGTGGGTTCAACATCTTGGTAGAGAAAATTCCCTGGAGAAGGAAATGGTAACCCACTCCAGTATTCTTGCCTGGGAAATTCCATAGAAGAGGAGCCTGGCAGGCTACATACAGTCTATGGGGGGTCGCAAAGAGTTGGACATGACTTAGGAAGTAAACAACAACAAATTTTATAAGAGCTGATATTCTAAGTTTGAGAATTTTGAGCTTGCTTCAGTAGCACATATATTAAGCTTGAGATTTTTTTCCTATAAAGTTAAGTGTTCAATAAAAACTGGAATAAATTCAAATAGAATCTATTCCAATAAAAGTGATATAAAAGTTGCTACTTTAACCTAGAAGCCGTATAAATGACATCTTATTTTACATAAAAGCACTATAACCGAGGTTATTTTGTAATTATTAAAAAAACAATTTCTCGTAAGTAAACATCTGTGATGGTATTCTTATCTTTTACTACAAGCAAATTTAATTTTCAGAGTTACAGTTTGTGCATTAAAGGCACTATATAGCACCTCAACCCATTTATCTGATATTCCTACTTAGATGGGATTTAGTTCCTGGAAAAAAAAAATAAATTTAGATAAAGGGAAAAAAAATCATAGGTTTATAGAGGAATATTACAATGTATGCTATGTTTAGTACAAATAGTGCTATGAGAAAAGATTCTTACATAGAATAAAGTGACCTATTGCCAAGATCCATTCTAGGCAATGATTAATGCTTCCTACTGGGTTATTTCTTCACTTTGCTTCATGATACTGATTTCTTATCTCTTCACAGAGATAAGAAAGTCTTTATTCCCAAAGACTGTCTTCAGGCTGCTCTTCTTGCTGTACCTGCAACCCTTAGAAAGAAGTTTCATTCCTTCCTAAGCTATCACTTCCAAGCACAGAATTTTTAAATCTATTTACATCTTACCTTCCATCTCTCCCAAACTTGTATTTCTATTTACATGGCACCTCACCTCATATAATGCACCGTATTAGTGTATCTATAACTCATCACCTGCCCCCAAACTACTACTTCCTACTTCTCTTCACAACACTGTTACTCCATCACCTCAAGTATTTTCCAAGTCTCTGTATCCTACACCTTAACAGTTGTCATGATACTTATTTTCTATCTGTGCCCTACATTCTTTCCTTTCTTTCA